TCTACACCCAAAAAATAAATTATGTTGTAAAGGTAAAAAAAATAAATTATAATTCAGAAACTAAATTTTGTGTAAACAGGATTTTTGCTTAAAGGCGGCTACCGACGGCATGGCAAGCCTTGGCCAGTGTCCGTTCGTTTCATCATTGGCGCATCGTGTGTATGCAAAACATATGGCAAAGCAAAGGCAAGGTTGGCGCTGGCCAGGGTTTGCCTATGAAGCGGTATTTTCAACACACATCAAATGGACTTGTTGAAACTCGCCAGTGGGCTTGATCGCCGTACACACGACATAGGTTAATCCAAGGGAGCTTGAGTTTAAATGACAGTAAAATTCTAATTCGTTTGAATATTTCTTTTTGTCAACTGGTGCAATGAAACCATTATGGAATTCCTTTATTTATCGCTTAAGGATCCGCAACATGTTAACCATAAAAACAGAAATTTGGTGTCCGATGCATGGGCTGCAATTGCCGATGAAATGTCCGTTCCATGTACAGTCGAAGTTCATCATCGGAGTCGAACTCCATTTCTTGTGTTATTTGTACCCTTGTACAACGTTCGCCTTCACTTGCCTCGAAAAGACTAGCAAAGATAAAACATGTAGTGTGAACGATCGTCGGTGCGCGAATATCAAGCAAAGACCAACGCTTCTACAAACGTTTGCTGAAACGCTGGCCATGGCTTGCCATGCCGTCTGTAGCCGGCTTAAAAATTAGTGAACATTGTATGGTATAGTCTGTGAAACGAATAACTTTGAATTTGACAGTTCCCGCGGGCTTTTATAGTGTTAATTTTATTAGGTTAGCAACTTGCGGCCATTCTGACGCAATGCCGTCTCTAATAGAACAGCCTCGAAGCGAGATTTATGACGTCACGCTAGTTAAATACTACGGATTAATAAATATGTTGTAGAATACATGGAAAACATAATAATTCCTCGTATTTTTGGTTTGTATTTTTTAAAAATGATATAGTTTACATGAAATATACATAATATACAGTTAATAAATACAATATATATACCTATTTATAGTAATAAATAACTTTCGCAAATAAACTATGAACCATACAAATGCAGCAAATGTTTTACAATATACAAATAATGAATAGGTACATAAGATAATGGGTAAAATGTAAAATATATTTTAAATTTTGGGGTTTGAAAAGCGATCTAATTTAACAAACAACATTCAATATCTACTACTTACTATGGCTGAAATCGTATTCCATAGTCAATGTAGATAGTTTTAGTGTTAAGAATAATAATTTAAAAAAATACGAGAGGTCATCTTTTGACAAGTTTATATTAGTTTATTAATTGCAGTAAACATTATGTGGTGTGAATATTTTATATGTAATTTTTTGGATTATATTCGACACTATTTTTTTCATATGACACAACACTGATGAAGGCTATGATGCTAGCCGAAACGTTTTTTTTAACCAAAAAAAAAATAATGAAAAAACAAATGAAAACTTAATCAGCGTTTTTCCCGAACCTAAATCCCAAGAAAATAAAAAATTTTAGAATAATTTTACATATAAAATGACAGCGATCTTTATTTTATAGCCATCGCTGCAGCCTTTTTTCCATGATATTGTATTATTTGCAAATATAATTTTTCGAACATTGATACTTGCAAAATATACATATACATTTTGTGAATGCAAATAATAATACATCACTATTAGTAGATATTGAATGTTTTTTGTTAAATTATATCGATTTTCAAACCCCAAAGTTTAAAATATATTTTACATTTTACCCATTATCTGATGTATCAATTCATTATTTGTATATTGTAAAACATTTGCTGCATTTGTATGGTTCATAATTTATTTGCCAAAGTTATTTATTACTATAAATAGGTATATATATTGTATTTATTAACTGTATATTATGTATATTTCATGTAAACTATATCGTTTTTAAAATACAAACCAAAAATACGAGGAATTATTATGTTTTCCATGTATTCTACAACATATTTATTAATCCGTAATATCTAACTAGCGTGACGTCATAAATCTCGCTCCGAGGCTGTTCTATTAGAGACGGCATTGGTCTGATATTTAGAAATGTCAAAAGCTGATGACATTTTACTTTTGACAATTGTGTTGATTTTTGTAAGAAGAGGAAGAACTGTCACTTGTTTTATTATTTTCCTTTTCTATTTCACGAAAATAAAAAGAGTTACCTATCTGATTCGTTCAGGCACTCAATTTAAAGAATATCAGTAACTTTTTTGACAGAGGAATTTTATATTTACCATGTTGGTAAAAAATAACGGTCAAAATTCAAAGTTATTCATTTTATAGACTATATCATAATAAAGTTGATAACTTGGTTGAACAATATTTTATATAGGTAATTTATCAAACTACGTTAATTAAAATAAACGTTTATTTTTAAAAACTGACAATGAATAATGTCTTAAAACTCAAAATGATGTAAGTACCCTAGATCATATATATTTACGTGGATAAGTAAATCACTATGGAAACTGTCGCCAACATATCAACGACTTCCATTTATCTTCTTTTTTTGTTGCACACGCGGTGCTTTTACTCTGTCTATCCTTATCGAGGACCTATCGTCGGCACGTCAAATTTGAACATTAATTTTAAAAATTTAATTTGTAAAATGCTTATATTTGAACAATGAATTTTACTGTCACAAAAATTAAATTATATAAAAAATACATTTAGCCACTCCGTACGAATATCAATATTCTAAGGCACTCTAACCAGAAAGTATGCATACCCAATTCATTTCACCAATATAACATCAGTCTTTCCTCGCAAATTGACATTTAACTCCTCCCCACTCCTCGAGCTCATCGTCTATCTTCGGGGACTTTTGACAAATATAAGCCCAAGTCTAGAGGAATCGTTTAAAACCATTTTCAAAACTGTGCGAATTTTTTCCACCGATGGGCCTTTTTTAACTAATTTGACGGGGGTAAACATCAATTTTAATAATCTGTAACCAAGGAACTTAATAAGAATCGTATAGACGTTAAAATAACCCCTTTACGTTTTGGGACCAAATTAAAATTTGGTCCCAAAAAGTTATACCGGGGAGACTAAATTAATATTATACATTGGTCACTTTTAAAAGCATGTTACTCTATTATTTTAAATGAAGCGTCCAGTGTGGTATTCCAATATTCAATGGTGAATTTATGTCTCTTCATATACTAAGGGCTGGCAAAGGTTAGTCTTGGGTCGAGATTTCCGTATGTAAGAAGAGTACAATGCGTTTATAATGTACTGAACAAAGAGAGGACAGTAAACACGTTGCCAAACGTATGAAATAAACCGAGAAACTGTGCACATCTCTAAGAGACGTGGAAGGGGATATATTAGATTTGTTGCAGTTGACCGGTCGACCCAATCAATACCTCTGTTAAAGTTGTAGGGAAAGGTGTACGTCATGCGTTAAGCTTCACGATTTAATTACGTCGCGTGATAATTTGTTTATTTATTATCATGTAGTTGTAATTTTTCCATTAGCTTGAATCTTTTTAAGTGCAAGCTAGAAACACTTGCATTTTTGGTAAAAATAAGTGGAATTGAGTGGGTATTCGATAGTGGTCGCGCTATTATAACTCTGAATTCAAAAATCGAAAAAATCTCGAAATCTATTAGAAATAATAGATTGTAGTTTTTTCAAGAACTTTGTTAATATCTCTGCTGTATTTTCTTTGTAGACAGTATGTGAAAATCTTTATCAATAAAAAAAGTACACGATTGCTGAAAATTGCTCGTTACGTTTTCTCGTTATAAAAAAATGACACCCTAACGATATCCTTATAATTCCATTTCAGATGCTCAGAAACATGTCTAATGATTTTATCTAGTTATCTCTTCAAAAAAAAAGTCTTTTAAAAATAAGCGGTTTGCGATCGTGATTTTACTTTACCTGATAGGGAACGGCGTACCGGCAACGCGGCAACAGCACACCGTCGCATTTCTCTCACTCTGACTTAATAAGATCCCTATGCGATTTACTTCCACACATGTAAATTCCGACCCAAAAGTAACAGTTGCCAGCACGGTATATAGAAATCTACCGGGTGTCCCAACAAGTGATACATATCAAAATTGTGTTTTTGTAAGGGATAGTTTTCGAATTTATGTTTCTTAATGAAAAGATCTTTTGAATAGAGATTCATTTTATGCAGTGGACAAGAAGGAAATCATTTTGAACATTTGATTTCTTCTAGCAAATTTTTGTCAATTATACGTTTACATATCGAGTTCCAATTCTGTAATAAACTATGTTTCGAACGTTAAGCTTATATTACCGTTAAATATTATACTCTGCCTTTCAGTTTTCTATTTTTTTCCTTATTAATTGAAAGAAAAATTTATGTCTCGGTGTCTACTATTTGGAAAAAATTTCTCGTCTCGTATATTTGTAGGAAATTGATTTCTCTACAAAAAATGTCTCTTACATTTTTTTTGTAAACGTCACCGTTCGAAAGTTATTAAAGGTTGAAGTTTGATAAGGCAGTTTTCTTTTTTTTATTAATATTATAACTGATTAATAAAAAATCAATATGATACGCGCAATTCACCGTTTTGTAGGAAATTCACTGCTCTTCAAAAATTGTTTCTTATGATTAGTCGATTAAATTAACCGTTTAAAAGATATTCATCATCACACTTCAATGCGCAATAATTTTAACAGTTTTAATTAATAATAATTAGTAATTAAACGAAAACCCCTAAAAAACACACAAAAATGGGACACCCTGTACTTTCTTTATTAAAATTATTGAGCAAAAATGCTCTGTTTCTTTTTTGTACCTAAGTTAAAATTAATCTAGTCTATAGTTCAGAAAATATTATAATTAAAATCAAAAGAAAACAAATTGGATTCGCTTTTTCTTCAACGCTTTCATCTTATACGCCATCGCTAATTTTCTTTCTTGCTGATAATAAACTGAGACTGATTTATGTAGACGTTTTCTCTCATTTTTCCTCTTTCAGCCTGTTCATTTTTCCGAAGGCAGGGCCGGACATAAAATATTTGCTGGGTTTTATACGAACGCAGCTCTCCACAACAACAACAATAGCTCTGGTTTTTGGTCCCAAGGTAAGTACCATACCGTCGATAAAAAAATCGGCGTCAAAGACGGCTGCGGAATGACAATCGATAATAATTTTGGCGAGGTCAGTCCCTATATAGATGTCATATACTTGACCCGTACTCTTGTTTATTTTTTAATAACGCTTACCGTCAGTTGGCCTTAAGGTTGTATTTTATTTTTCTACTCAGTAAAAATGATTTTTAATCTTTCTATAATTAGTGCTAATTTTGACAAGTTTTATGTTAATTTTTAGTAAATGACAGCCGTATGATGTCTAAAGATTGCTCTCGCCAAAATTATTATCTCGATTGTCACTCCCCAGCCATCTTCGACGCCGATTTTTTTTCGATCATACTGTATTTTATATATAGGAAAATTAATAAAAGTTGACGTGAACGTCATCAAAATATTTGACGTCGTAATGATGCCACGCCTACTTTTTTTATCGCGATTTTTTATACGTATAGTTAATTATCATAACTTAAAAGTTTATGATTGCCATTTCTTTTTTAATTTTGATCTATGGCTTAAAATGACATTCTAACTAACTAACAATAATAAATGTTCTTACATTTTCTTTTGAATATCTGTATAACTTAGATAGGAAAATATGTATTTTAGCTAAACGATTAGACTTTTACAAATTGTAAGTTTTGTGTTCGTTGAAGGACTATTAGAGCTACAATTTAAAAATATGTTTAAAATATAGAGAGTGTCCCAAATAAATAAATCATGTCAAAGTTGAATTTTTTTAAATGGTACACCCTGTATATTATTACATTTTTAGTTTCTACGATTAAAATAAAGGTAAATTTGATTAAGGTTTATCACACTTAAACCATACCGTTTTTGAAATATTTTCAATTTAGTGAAATTGCAGTAAAAATTTTAAAGCTTTATTTCTCCAAGGGTATCAATGTTTTTATTACTAAATATTTACTGAGGTTTATTTATTAATCAGTTATTGTGTTGCAATAATAGAAATAATACTACCTCATACAGAGTGTTTAAAAAATTATTTTAAATAATTTCTAGCTATAAACTGCAATAACTTGTTTAATTTAAACGGAACACCCTGTGTATTTTAGGAGAATCACATGTGCAATTAAATTGTCTATCAAATTGTATTTTAGTATTTTTCACCTATCCCTTCAAGTTTTCCTAGAAACTGCATTTTCTTATAATTTAGACCTCATTTATTAATATACCCATGGAATATTGACATTTTAGGTTGTTTTTATAGCAACAAATGTACAAAATGTACAGGTGCTAAAAGCGATAATATTACTAGCCCATTTTTTATACAAAAAGAAAACTATTTAAATCTTTATAAAAGAGTATATAATTAATTAAATATACCGCCATTATTTCCAACCAAATAAATTAATTACATCCTTAATTGTATTAGTTAATAAATTATTCGAAATAAATGAAGATTTTTACATTTTACCGCACTGTCTAATACACAAAATATACAAAAATATAAATACAAAATTATAGAATACTGGAATCATATTAATTGGTCCTCATTAACAAATATTTAAACAGATTTTTTTCTAATGTTTTAATGAAATAAACGAATTATATCGACAATATTAGTATCTGTACTCTTTAAAAATTTGGCACATCTTTAAAAATAATCTAAAATGTCAGTATTCCATGGGTATATTGATAAATGAGTTCTAAATTACAAGAAAATGCATTTTCTACGAAAACTTGAAGAGATAGGTAAAAAATGGTATAATACAATTTGATAGACAATTAAATTGTGCATCTGATTCTCGTAAATATACAGGGTGTTCCATTTAAATTAAACAAGTTATTACCGTTTGAAGCTAGTAATTTTTTAGACACTCTGTATAAGGTAGTATAATTTTTATTATTGCCACACAAAATTTAGTAAATAGAAGAATTTCAGTACAATATTTGGTTTTAAAAACTTAAATACGCCTAGAGAAATAAAGCATTAAAATTTATTACTGTATTTTAACAAAAACCTAAATATTTCAAAAACGGTAAGATTAAAATGCGATAAACCTTAATCAAATTTACCTTTATTTTAGTTGGAGAAACTAAAAATGTAATAATATACAGGGTATTCCTTTTAAAAATATATAACTTTGATATTTTTTATTTATTTGGGACACTCTTGTAAATCTTGTCTGTATATTGTAAAAATATTTTTAAATTGTAGCTCTAATAGTCCCTCAACGAACCAAAATCTTACAATTTGCAAAAATCTAACCGCTTAGCTGCAATACTCCGTGTCGTATGTGGTGAACAACCCTTTATAGAAATGTGATTTTCGTTAGGTCATTCGAGTTTTGAAGGGCCAAGGTGACCAATGGGACAACAGGGCAAGGTCTAGAGGAGTCACAGCATCGTTTTCCTTGAACGGTATTGGTTTGGTACCAGAAGAAGCTCCAGAAGATTTGTACCAAGAAAACGAGGAGTTAAAAGTAATACTTAAAATCATTATCACTCACAATCCGTTTAATTTGTAGTGCGATTTTGATTCTGCAGTATATTTAAATTAACAAAAATAATTATAATTATTATCTACAGAGCAACCAACAATGATTGAAAAATAGTTAGTTATACTTTGTTAGAGCATTTTTGTACTTAGTGACTGGCAAATTGTTTCTTTTTTGGGCTTTTCAAGCTCTTTGTAGGGTTCCGTACCCATAGGGTAAAAACGGGAACCCTATTACTAAGACTTCGGTATCCGTTCGTCCGGCTGTCACAAAGGTCTATCTTATGAACTGTTATAGCTAGACAGTTGCCGCTATAAGAACAAATACTAAAAACAGAATTAAATAAATGTTTATAAATAAAAAAGTACTTTCACTAAACATTATCTTTTAAGTAAGAATTTTACATAGAAGTCCTCGGTGGCCGCGTGGTTTAAAGCGTTAGGACTTTACGCTGCTATGACGTTGGAGCCGTAGTAAGGCAGGTTCGAATCCTAGTCAAGGCGACTTTGTTTTTTTTTAATTTTTACATATTTATTTTTACTTTTTACATATTTGTTATTGATTAATACAATTTTTAGTAATGTGTTTCTTCATTTTTTTTTTAAATTACTTATACGAGCATTCAAAATTTCAGCTAAATCGGAAAAAATGTTTATAATAATATAGTTTCTCATGTTGTATAGATAATGAATGGTACGGAACCCTTCGTGCACGAGTCCGACTCGCACTTGACCAATTTTTTGATCCTAATCTCGCAAACGTCATTTCATTTAACATCACACAACGAGGCAAATTTACCACTCTATGTATGTATAATACTGGATATATTTTAGGAAGAAATCCAAAAACTGGCGGCCCAGATCGAGTTCATGAAGATCGTTCACATGGAAATGAACAATCGTCACATCAAGCCGAAAGCCGGGGGGTATTTCACCTCCCTGAACGCTCCCATGGTGGTGCACAGCCCCCTGACCAAGCAGGGCTTGCTCAACAAACCTCCCGAGGAGCTGTGACAAACGGAACAGGCTCCTGCCAACGTTAGTAGCAGGAGACGCAGCTGTAAGGAGTGGCTGAGATTGGAGTTTGTACTGAAGCAAACAGGGGAGTCTGTAGTGGTTGTATAACTGACTCTACGAAGTAATATGGATTTTTTTTGTTGTCTGTAGGCGAGTAGTTTACTTCATTTAGAATAGCTTGTTTCATCTCAGTACTTCAAAGTTTTATGAGGCGGTGTCGTTGATTTTTTCAGTTATGGCTCTGATATTCAAAATTAAAAAACACGTAACTTTTTTATCAACAGCTATAGGGTTGGTGCATTCTCCGCCGGTGTCTGCCACCATCGGAGAATATCGTAAAAAACTAGCATATACAAATACACGGGTTTAAATAGCAAGTATACGAAAAATGTATTATTTAATTATCATAAAATTGTTAATTGTATAATTTCTGAAAATTCTAAAAATAAAAATAAAAACGTAAATAAACTCACCGGCCACTAAAAACTAATCCCAATTTCAAAGTTATATTTCTCGCGAACCACTCATTAGATTTTGATGATTTTTTTTTATATTATAAACTAAATTCTTCTTAATGGATGCTGTATCAGAAATTTTTATTCCGAATTTATTTTGAGCATATACAGAGCACAACAATAAGACGAAGTTTTTTGCCCGAACTTTGTAACACCCTGTAGGATGCAGCAGCTATAGTAGCTATTATTAAATCAAATCACGTTGTAGCCTCATCTTTTGTGAGCATTTTGCTTTTTTAATCATGACATTATCTCTGTTTTTATTGGAAATAGGCTGCTTTAATTCGTCTCGGAAAAATGCTTCGCAGGCAGAAAGTTTTACGTATAAATAATCAAGGCGACTTAAGCTTGATTTTCATGCATCCGTTGTCCGATTGGACACGATGATACGATATTAATTTTATTGGTTGAATGTAAACACTTCGATTGGTTAACCGTTTCTAACCAATTGAAGTCTTTAAAGTCAACCAATAAAATTAATATCGGACCATCGTATCAACGGATAACGGACGCATGAAAATCAAGCTCTAGGCGAAAACGGATTTATGAGTATTTGCAATATGACAACAACGGTTGTCAAATTAAAAAATGCCATTAGCTGTGACGGATGTGGTTCGTATTGTGGCTTTAATTGAGGATGGCCGAAGTCAACGTTATGTGTCCGATACCCTGGGTCTATGTACCTCGAACAACAGTCCAGGATGCCTGGAATATGAAAACGGGAAATTTTACCAGGCTAGTGGGTTCCGGAACACAAATACAATTGAAGACCGCTTTATTGTCCTGAATACTTTACGAAATCGTAGAATTACAGCGTTTCAGAATCAACATCTGCTACAAGCCGTGCGTAGAACTCAAGTCAGTTAGAGAACAATCCGACGAAGACTAAAAGAAAACAGCTTGTCTGCAAGGAGGCCTGCCACAGAACCCAGCTACTTCTTCAGTTTTCGCGTTTACATGTGAATTGGGATATTGAGCAATGGATTAAAGTTCTTTTCAAGGATGAATCGCGGTTTTGCCTGCGAAGCATCTTTCTGAGACGTTCGTTTTAAAGCAGCGTATCTCCAATACAAACAGAGATAATGTCGTGATTAAAAAAACAAAACGCTCACAAAAGATGAGGCTACAATGTGATTTGATTTAACAATAGCTACCACAGCTGCTGTACCCTGCAGAGTGTTACAAAGTTCGGGAAAAAACTTCGTCTTATTGTTGTGCCCTGTATATGCTCAAAAAAGTTTCGGAATAGAAATTTCTGACGTAGCATCCGTTAAGAAGGAATTAATTTACAATTTAAAAAAAAATCATCAAAATCTAATGAGTGGTTCGCGAGAAATCCAACTTTGAAATTGGGACTAGTTTTTAGTGGCCGTTTTTTTTGCCGGTGAGTGTATTTTGATATCTTCAGAAGGTCTAACTTGTATTATAATTTATTATTCCAGTTAAAAAAACTTTTTTTAGATGAGTTAAACTACGGTAGCGAGCATAGTTTTAATCACTGGTTTTGCTAGTGGGGCATAATTGGGGCATATTTTGGCTATGACGAAATTTTTTAAAGGTAAATAATTTTAAAAGATGTTCATAAAACCTTTATTCACTAATTGATTAAAAAAAAAGTATACCTACCATTAATATTGCAAATCATATTTTATCCTTAATTTTTTGATTATGTAACGAGCACTTTGTTTACTCACTTGTTTCGTCGAACTGCTTGAATCTATTTTTGCTATTGATCAAATCGGTGTGAGAAATTAGGAAGCTATAAAATGTTGTTTCGGGAGAGTTGAATATCGGGGAAAGTTGAGTTATTGAATGTTATTGCACCCAACAACGCCTTAATTACGCTCTCCTTTAAGGGCCGGCTACACGTACAAGCTTTACCACGAGCTTACCTGCGCAAACCTGTTTGTATCGGGAACTCGCTGTGCGGCCTGCGTAAACGTCGCGCTGCTAAAGATTTTAGTTTGCGCAAACCAGTTTGTGCGAGTTCAAGGTACAGTTTTGTGACTTTGTGGATTTTGTGTTATTAGTTACCAACTCTTAGAAAATATCTGATATTCGTACTTATTCCAATAAGGAGTTTATGACAAGTTTTATTGAAATATATTCATCGTTGCCGTGTCTATGGAAGATAAAATTGAAAGATTATTCAGATAGAAACAGAAAAAATGACGTGTACAAGAAAATGGTTTTCTATTTAAGTCAGTTTTTATTCCACTTCGATCTATACCGTTTATTTTGCTGTTTTTTCTTTAACAATAAGCAATAAAAAACAATAATTCGTCACTTGACATTTCCACGAACGGAATGTACGCTCTTGCTTGCATCGTGTGGACACCGCACAGTGTTCCTTCTAGTTTGCGCAAACTATAACGTGCAGGCAAGTCGCTGTCGTGTAGCCGCCGCTTTACGCGTTAACATTTTTTTGGCTATTTTATTAACATTTGAAATTGTCACAACACGACGCCTAGTTCGAATTCTTTTTCACTTATTTTTTACCAGGGGCGTAGATAGGTGTATGCTATGGGGGTGGTACTATGATTAAGTCGCAAAAAAAATCACCTTCGGAATTTTTTTGTCGAATTAAAACGATGGCGATTTTTTTGTCTTCAAAAAGATATAAAAACATAACACAAAAATTAAAATATAGATTTGTAAATAACAAACAAAAATGAAACAACGACGTTTATTAGTTAATTTTCTATAAACTATAAATAAAAAACTCTAAACTATCAAAAAAAACTATAAAAACTATAAACTATAAATAAAACTACAAAACAAAATCAAGTTTTCTAGTACGCTGTTTGGAAAACCTATCAATAACAGCATCAACATTATTTTCAATATCTTTATGGATATTGATTAGAGTTAACCCCACTAATCTGTCCTGGCCAATAAGAACACTTTTGTGTGCTTTAATTAGGTCGAACATATTATAAACGATAAATCAACATAATTAAAAGCATACAAAGTGTTCTTATATGTCGGATATTAATAAAAAAAATCCTTTCATAGTCAATGACTATTTCAATTCTCGTATCTCGTCAAGCGTCAGGGGGGGGGGTACTGTCCCCCAGTACCCCCCCCCCTTATCTACTTATCTACGCCCTTGTTTTTTACTACCCGAAACAGCGTTACATCACACAAACCTCGTACCTGAGTCTTTTATAGTATCAATAATTGCACTAGCAAAAAACTAAAATACTTAAATACTATGACAAAACCACGATTTTAATATTTTTTCAATGCGATAAACATGACAGCGCGGCGGCGTGAACTATATACTGATAATTTCTGATTTTTGCCGTTGAAGCGCTGCGGTCGGAATTTGTTGAAATCAACTGAAATGCACCAAGCCTATAGTAATCAAATATTTTAGAAATTTCCTCTAAATTTATTTACATCTCTTAAAATTCAACAGATTCACAAACATGCATTGATAGATATCAAACTGACTGGAATGTAAAGAGTAATTTAAAAAATCAAAATCTCAGAAAAATCTGTTATACAATAAAGTATTAATCTCAATTACAAACAAATAATATTAATTCAAAAAAGAAAAGACAAACCTTATTATAGAAAAGGAAGATATGCAAGAGATATACAAACCAAAGGTAAACGGAAAAATGTTATTAGGTTGCCAACTTATTTATTAATAAAGTTTATAGATATTATATTTTATGATACGCTATTTAACACTCTTTTTTTGTTTATAGGACGATTTTATTAAGTCTGTCGTCAATTAAATATGTAAATAAAGAAATGGTTTGTTTGGATTTTGCTTGTATATGTTGGATCAAAACAAATCATGCAGTTATATACTTGAATAATTTATCATTTACACATCTCTTTCAAGAAGTCTTGTAAGAATTCATAATCAAGATAATTAGAAATAGTATTTTTGTATTATACATTCACTGATTCACTGGTATAAAAAATTAATAGTTTATTTTAAATAGATTTTCTTTATTTTTTATTAAATTTGCTTTTTTGCAATTAAATGTTTAAATTTGAAAACATTTTTTTTTATATTTTTCGTTTATTTTTAATTTTTAGTTAAAATTTTATTTTATTTGCCAGCAGATTGCCTGTGTATTATTTGTCACTCTAAATTGCACAATTTTTGTTCTGAATCAGTGACGTGCGGTAAATTTTTTAGAAGGGTAGATAAGGTGATAAAAAAAGTCAAAAAATATAATCCACTACCTAAACTCTTCTGTCTCAAGGCAAGAACAGTTAACCTAATAGGACTGCTCATTCAGCCAAAAGTGTCCGCCAGGTGCATGCGAAAACTACTCGCTTTGTGACGTCATTGTAGCCCTTGTCATGGTTATTAGTCCTTATCCGACAACCAATAATACACACACGTGCATTATTGGTTACCGAATGCAAAACGTTCATTATTTAGTTTATTTATTTAAACACCTTATATGTATGCAGTATAGAAAATTAACTGTATAAATCCTATTAAATATTCCGGATAATGCATTTTAAGAACAGCAGTTCCCAGCATCACCTTTTGCAAGCATTCTTTTTAGAGTACTTCCATATTTTGCTTTAAAATAATTAATAAACAAAATCGTGGGCACTTAGTATGCACTTTGTCACAATCCACAACACAAAATGAACGTATTTATACACTCTATAGCTCTAAAAACTTTACAGACACCTTTTTCACATTTAAAATTGACAAAATAATTAACTCACAATTTCTCAGCTATTATTTTTATAAGTTTACCATAGGCAACTAATAATACACACTATCATCACAAGGCCACGAATGCTTTGACAAGGGC